CAGTCCCCCTCTCGCTCTTCTGCTCCCTTCTGCTGATTCATTACGAGGACTTGATGCCCTCCTGTCCTCTTTTACTGCCTCCATTAAATCCTTGATCTCTCCTTTGCAACTCTCCATGGATAGCGGGTGCTTCAGTTCATCATTGGAGCTAAGAGCTGTGGTGATGTACCCTTCATCCTACACACTTTATCTTATCTCGGGCCCTTCTCGGCTGAACCCTCTGCAATGCTAAAACACATCTGAAGAAATGTAATGCTTGAGAACCTGATCATCAGTACATAAATGTTCGAAACTTTCAGCAGGTATATTATTGCTGCTTTTCTTGTTACTGCTGTAGAGTAAAACAGACAAAAATTATACACATAAAAAGTACACACAACTTATTAAAGTAAATAATGAGGTGGGGCTACATCTTAAACAGCTCCCATGAAATTAATTTGAAGGCATAAATGTGCTTTATTACTACGGTTATTTTATCTGTTGGGTGAGAGAAGCAGTGGGAAACGTTAGCCTTGATGTGTGACTAAAGAAGTCACTTTGCTGGTGAGTCAGTCTTTACAAATGCAAGCTGAGCTGTGCAGACAAACAATTTTCAAAACTTAAATTTAAATTCTAGTGAACACCCCAGTGTTTTCCTGAGGTACCAAATGTGTGTCAAAAAATGGGAAAAACATCTACAACATTTCCATTTGATGCAACGATGCATCCATAATAAGATGGAGACTTAGGCCTAATGATTTCACTCTGGCAGTACAGGCCAACTTAGACTATTTATACGATACAGTCAGTGTGGAATACAATGATTTGAAAAATCTTTAAAGTAAAATAAAGAGGAAAACTGTGTAACTATACCTACAGGTTTACATGACGGATGTTTTTGTAAATCTGAGCATTACATTGTCTTCTGGGAAATTAAGCTCTGCAGCAACGTTGCAGTGTTTAGACTGCAACCTCACGTAACCCAGCCAGACAACCAGAAACTGAATCAGTCTGCAAGGGTAAATAGCACAAGTCCCAGTGGAGCTGATGCTGCAGTGAGCCATGAGAAGTGTTAAGAGCAAAGGACTGAGGTCAGGCTGTGCAAAAGTCTAAACCTGACTGCCTGTGATCATATCAGGCTACACGTGGGGCTCTGGATTAATTTCTTATCTCTGCCTTCATAGCTGCTAAGGGTTTCCTGAGTGTGAGGGTGGTGAGGGTGGTGATGGACAATAGGCATAGCCAGAACAGCTAACTGAAATGCTCCAGTGTTCCCTTGTTCTTAATGGGATTAGTTACACTGCAGGGTGAGGTGAGGACGGATTTGGCCTTAGTGAGTTGTTTTTTGTCAGACTGGGACAATCCAGATGAAAATCCTTACTTATTTCATTATTAAATTATTAAACGTACATACCTCATACTCTGCCGTGCACTGCCATTTTTACTCTAGTTTTAATCCACTACGCTTTTACTTATCTTTATCTCTACATTAAGAAAACATGGGATCAATATGCTTCTCAGCCTGCTTCATCAATGGGATTATTTTAGCATGATTTAAATTTAGGTTTAGATCACTTTATTTTAACACAGGTTAAACTGGTTTTCAAACACAAAGCAGTAATGTGGCCCATTTTTATGGCATATTTTCTGCACTGATATTTCTGTCAGGTGTTCTCCTTCTAGTTGTGTGTATTTGTCCATCTAGGGACAGGTGTCGAAGACTATCTTAGGCTATAAATGTTGTGATATGTACTTGTACTTGTCCCTGCTAAAATAAATGTTAAATAAAAGTGCTATATGTTTTTCTAATTATTAATATGCCATGTCAAAGTCAAATCTTCACTGGATTGTGTTGGAAAATAATGCTGTTCTAAATCAGAAATTTAAAGGAGCATTTAAAGGACAACTATGGCTTGTGTACGTTTATGTTTTACCCAGCCAAAATCTCAACCCCTGTCAGTTTAATAAATGTTTATGGACCTGCACAATAATAAAGTCCACCAAGCCTTGGTGTAATAAACCTGCATGACGGAGGGAAAAAACAGGATCTATATATAAACAACTTTTTTTTTTTTTGGTTATACTTTGAAAGCTGGTGAAATGAACTTGAGAAGACTTTCACAAAATCTTCTTTACGCTTTGCATATTCATCACTGCGACCTTTTCCCTTTGTGTGAGGTTCATAAACAAATGCCTTTACAGACCCTGAGGCATTATGTATGTAATATACAAGTTTATATGCTTACCTGCAAAACAAATGTCAGACTTTTCAAGAAGAGATTTATGTTTTCTCTTCAAAAACCTGAAGTATATTTAAACTGCACACACACAGAGTAAAAGCACATCCTTACACTTTGAGGACTGAATATTCACTTGCTGCCTAATATACCCCACACAGTGACGGGTGCCACTGTGCTGAGATAATGTTATCCGCTTCATCTGTCAGTGGTCATAATGTTATGGCTGAACACTGTCTGATGCCCTTTGTTAATCTAGTGACCTCTTGGATTTTTTTAAAATGAAATTTTTGCCAGATATGTCCAGGTGTATGCGTGCAAAGATGCCGCTCTCTTGTTGTGTGTGGCATCGACTGACCTCTGCATCTGCACTGTATCTATTAGCAAATTCACTTCCTACTGAAAATCAATTCTCTGTACTGATACAGTTTGTCAATACAGTAAAGTAGCTGACAAAAGTTTTTTTAAAATGCAGATAAAGCAATATGCTAATCTCCTAAGGAATGCGAACCTGAAACAGGAAGCCCTGTGAATGTAAGTCATTTACCACTATTAACAAATAATCAGAGAGGAATGAGCCTATCAGTTCAGGTTAGTCTGCAGTTAGTCTTTACACAACATGCTGTGAAGTAAGAACTGTGTGTCTGTACAAAAACCAGCTGCCTCAGCTTTAATGTCATTTCAACAGGTTTCATTCACTTAACTGTCTTGAAATTCAGTCAAGAAAACATCTGAAATTTAAAATTGGAGGAGATTACACAGGGTGGGAAATCAATGCTTTCAGGAAAGGATACGACTGAACAGGTAAAGGAAGTTTCCTCTACATTTTCAGTGCATTTCACCACAGAAGAAAAGACATTGTCAATGATTTCCATTTAGATTTCAGAGTCATTTTAGACAGGAAATGTTACAATCGATGTGCAATCTTGCGCATTGCCAGACATGTGGTGATAAATGTGAAACTGAAGTGAAAACCTTGCCTGAATGAGTGAGTAACACAACTTACAACACAAGTATGTCTCAAATGAGATACATATTTCTTCTCATTCACCGAGTTTTATTTCATGTCAGCACGAGTTAACTCGTAGGATTCATTGAGCATGCCAGCACAACTGCCCAAAAAACAAAAATTCAGACCTATTTGTGCTTTCCACGGTGCTCTGAGAGAGATGCGTTACCTCTCTCAATCAGCATCAATAACACTCTCTCTCAATATGCATTTATTTTTGTTCATGCAGACTGTGTAACATCAATCAAAATGCAGAGATCTGTAATACCATTTGTAAACATCAGACAGTGTCAGTGTCAGTCTAGATTGCTGCATTTGCCAAACTGTCAGTCTCAACATCCAGCAAGCAGACAAATCTAAAGAGGACATTACTTTGAAAAAGATTAACAATATGGCCTCCTACATGCATCACTGCAGTTTACTCAAGCAAAAAATGGGCTTTCAAACCTCTGAGCAAGTTTCAAATAAATCTCTATAGACTTCATGGCTATAGAGATGCTGTATTTCACAAGCTGGTCTCTTTTAGGGGGAAACCCCTCATGGCTATGATATTTCTCTGTAAAATTGCAGGTGGAAGACAGTAGAGTGCAGCAGGGTCAGTGATGGAGTGCTTTGCCCTGAGAGGCATGGAGTGACTTGCCATCACAGGAGTGACACACTGTGACATAGTGGGGATCTCATTTTGCTGCAGCATTTTCACACGTGTCATTATCATACACCTCTATGTCCTGGAGACTGGAGGCATCCGTGTCATCCCCTGCACTGGTCTTACTGTTCCTGAAAGCAAAACCTCCGATAAAGGGATATGCACTCTGTATGAATAAGTCTCTGATGTTATAAAAAGGGAGTTCTGGGTCTTGCCTTCTAGGCTTGGTGATACATTTCCCCTCCATGGCTTTGTTTCTTTGATAGTACTTTGAAAACTTATTAAAGATTATAGTGATGGGCAGAGCCACCACTAACAGGCCACACACAATGCACAGTGTAGCCACTATCTTCCCTGCAAATGTCACCGGGCAGGTGTCACCGTAACCGACTGTGGTCATGGTGATTGTGGCCCACCACCAGCATGAAGGAATGGTCCCCAAGTCAGTGTTCTTTTCCTCCTTCTCTGCAAAGTAGATGAGCGCAGAAAAGATGGTAATCCCTACAGAGAGGAACAGAAGAAGCAGGCCCACTTCGTGGTAGCTGTGGCGGACAGTTGCACCCAGAGCTCGCAGCCCGATGGAGTGACGAGCCAGTTTGAGGATCCGGAGAACCCTCATGAGGCGCAGAACCTGCACCACCTTCCCCACATTCTCAATGTTCTCATTCTCCTCTGCACCATCCTCATCTCCTGTCTCCAGTGCTAAAGTGGCATAAAACGGTAAAATGGAAGCTACATCGATAATGTTTAAAGGGTTTCCGAGGAACTTCCTGCAGGAAGGTGCAACAATCAGCCTGATAATGAACTCAGCAGAGAAGAATGCAATGCATATCTCCTCCAGGATTGTGAGAACAGGGTCCTCAATGGACCTGTCATTGTCATCCACTTTCTGAAACTCAGGCATGCTGTGGACACACATGGCAACAATAGAGGTCAACACCACGCTGAGGGAGGCCACGGCAATGACTTTTGAGGCTCTGGAGTGGCCTGGATCTTCTAGCCTGAGCCAAACGTAACTCCTCACCTCCGCACACCAGGCACCTTTGAACTTGGCCAGGTCTTTATCTAGAGCAGAGAGCTCCTCCAGGGAAGAGTCAAAGCTTGGCTGCTGCTGGTCATCACTCCTGATGTCCCATTCTCTGTCCTCAATATATCCCTTCCTCTCATGGTACCAGCTGCTGCAGCAAGGGCTCAGGTGGAGCTCCTGGATGCCCCAGTACTCGATCTCCTGGCTGAAGGAGAAGACACACAACTCCTCCATCATGTGGATACGTCCCGTGTGGTAGAAGTTGAGCACACAAAGAAAAACTCTGGGATTCCTGTCAAAGTAGTATTCCTTCTCAGCCGGACTGTAGTCGTCACACAGCTCCAGAATCGCCGCCTCACTTTGGCAGCGCAGAAGACGAGCCAGACGTGTGTGAGGGAAGCGGAGCAGCATGTCTGGATCCACTTCATGCCGCATCCCCCCCACGTTGAGGTGGACCTGGTCCCCCTCTTTCCCATGATGGTGGAGGATTTGCCCATAACCCATGGTCCTGTTGAGACATACAGATTCAAAATAATGTCAGGTTTATACATTTTTTATGGCATGCGATGTCCCAAAAGCATCTACAGCCAGAATTATAGGTGCAATATCTGTGTGTATGAGTTTCTATCTATCAAGACATATTTGACTACTGTGTTTGTAGAACACATTAGTCCTCTGAAAGGAAAAAATCAATAAGCACACACAGGAAATGGTTTGTGCTGGAGTGAGTGAAGAGGTTTGAGGGACTGTCACTTCTTGGAGGGCTCAAGTGCAGGATTATCACCAGAAGAATCAAATTACAGACTGGTCTAGACTAACTCAGAGGAAATGAGAGGCAACAAGTTGAAAATGAACCCACACATCATTCCAAAGACTGTTTTCCAGCACGTGTAAAGTTCTACAGCATATTGTGCTGTGGGTATTCTTTAATATATTGTCTTCAGATCAACACGCTGGTTTGTATGTACACTTTGCTGACTTTTGCATGAAACCTAGACCTAACTTTTTTTTCACCAAACCCTATTTACAAATAAGTATAATAAGTATATTACTTTAATTTCACTAAAACTGAATACTCGATGTAAAGCAGAAACGTACCTGCTCTTGGAGCCTGTCTTTCCATGAAACAACTTTAATCCTCGTGCTTTGGTTTTCACATTTGGCTTCTGAAATGCCGCAAATAGCAGGTCAGTGGCGAGAGTGTGGTGTTGCTGCTTCAAGGATGGGACCAGGAGAGCTGGAGGCGGGACAGCGGCACCGCAGCAGTTTGTTCCCTTTTACAGGGAACAGGGAGGGGCAAGAGAGGAGAATAGAGGAGGGGAGGGTGTCTGAGAGACTGCTCAGATGTAGGAACACCCTACTGTAATAGAGTTGTTTTATGGCATTTGTATAAGCCTATAATATTCTTATTTACACTGTATATTTAACCTCTGTGATGTATTATAAGATCTGAGGACTTTCATTCTGTAAGGGCTACAGAATCACTTTAAATTCATCCATCCATTATTTATACTGCTTATCCTTGGGGGACAGACTGGAGCTAATATCAGCTCACACTGGGCAAAAGGCATTGTACACCCTGGACAGGTAGCCAGTTTATCACAGGCAGGCACAGGGAGAACATGCAAACTCAGCGCAAAAAGGTTCCAGGTTGGCCAGGGTTCAAACCCAGAACCCTCTTGCTGTCAGGTGACAACACTACCCACCGCACTACCCATGCATGTTTAGTTTTTTTTTTTTAAATTGCACTTGTGTTTGAGTGAAAGTCAGTTAATTGCACCTTGTCTGCAAGTTGGAGGGAGTGAAGTAAGTAAAATCACATTGACACTTCAGTCCCACGTGACCAAATAAGACACTGTATTTGGCAGCAAAAGCTAAATACAGCATACCTTTACTGCGACAGGAAAAAACTGTTGTGAGTGCAGCTGACACTATAATTTTTTTAAAATAACAAACTGGTTGAGAATTTGTTATTTATCTGACAAGCTTTTCCATCTCACCTGTGTGCCCTGGCTAAGGGGTCTTTCCATCTGTTTATTAACCTCAGAAAGAAGATCTGGAGTGCCGGGTGATGTGGATTATCTCTGAAATAATCTTAAAATTAATGTACTGTTTTATCATCTCTGTGCTTCTAGGGAAACATCTGTTTCTTTTCAGCACAAGGTTTCTTAATTAAAGTTGTCTGCTGTTCTCTGCCAAAGCCTGGGTTGAATTGTTTTTATTTTATTTAGCCTTTATTTAACCAGGATGGCTATCGAAAGACCTTGCCAAATAACAAGATATAGTACATCACACAAATCAGTCACACAGTATACAGTAAAGTACACAGTAAAGTATGATCTGTAAAATATACAAATAAACCCTTAATAATTTAAACAGCTACAGTCCTCCTGAAGTATTTCTTTAATGAAATTTAAACATATACTGGGGTAATGTTTTTGACTGAAGTTTTTCCTGTAAATGTTTCCAAGCCCAAGGTGCATAAAATGAGAATGCAGTTTTTCTAAACTCAGAGCAAACTCTAAGTAGGCAATCCTTCTGGATGATCTGGTTTGATAACTACTGGAAAACATTTTACAAAGGTATCCAGGATGTTTTCCAAGAATAGCTTTAAAAAATAAAAAGATACAGGTGACGTGTATGTCTGATTTTTAACAAGGTCCATCCAATTAACCTATATAAATCACAGTGATGGGTTGATGGGTGCACATATAATATGTCACTGTAATCTAAGACTGACAGAAATATTGACTGCACAAATAAAAACCTAAAATAGGTTTAAATTTTTTTGTAAGTTTATCAGTATTGGGTTTAAAAGATGCTTTGTCATCCAGACAGATTCCAAGATATTAGTATGTAGAGGCTTTCTCCAGTTCAATTCCTTTCAAGGTCTTGAGACCCAGGCTATCTTATATGAAATGATCAACCAGACACCTGCACTGAGGCCGACCCCAAGCCTGCGGGACCCCAAAATGCCCCAGATTCACTACATGTCAATTTGTCTTGGTAATTGTTTATTTTATTTTTATTCTTCATACCAACAGCTTATAAATTATATACTTGTTTATATTTGTTTAAATTTTTATTTCTGCATATCTGCATGTAGATGAGAAAATTATAGTAGTAATCGGAAAGTCAGTCTCTTTGCAGTGCAGTGCTGACACTGGTCCACACATTTATCCCCATCAGGCTGTAATTGGATCCACCTGTGTGTGTCTGTATTTGTTTAGCCTCTCTTAAGGCCTGCAGAACTGGTTCTCACTTAGAAACAGGGCTTGTGTGGTTGCCTGTTTCCGTCTGTTGTACCATGGGTCATTTTGTTGGATTGGGGTTTGTAGTTTTAGTGTTATTTGGTTGTTATTGTACACAATTTTAGAATTCAGCTCTTTGAAAATGATTCAATCTCTTTCAGGTGGCTTATTTTGCTCATGGCAGTTGTAAACATAGAAGCTCAAAAGAAACCCTCTATGAGTAGGTTTTTGCTGGTTTTTCATGTTATTTTGCCAAACAAGGTTGTATGCTTCAGTGTAAATGTTAAGTATAGTGTAAGCTGCTTTCTAATACAGAGCTTCAATCTCCAGCTATCAGCTCACAATGTCTGGGGAACCTAATGCATGTGGATGTTGGTCCTCATGAAGGGGAACTTCTGGAAGTTTCTGCTGTCATAGGTAGATTAAAATTTCTGAATTATGTCTTTTAAAATTCTTAAGTGTCACTTGTCTAACTTTTTTTTCTTTTTTTTGCGGGGGTCCCCTCAGATAATTCTTCCATCCTTCTTACACCGAGTTTAGCATCTCAGTGTGGCTTCAGCATGAAAACGGATCAGCTTGGGAATACTGTGATTTTTGCCTCCATCCAAAACTGTTTTGCTGAAAATGCGGTAACAAGAGTGGTCATGGCATTTTGTAGAGCAGCAGCAAATTCTTAAGACAATGTGGCTATAATTTCAAGTTTTATTTCCATGTGTTTGTAGGGAGACAAAACATTCACAACAACACTAAATCTTCGGCTGAATGGGAACCAGGTGGTTGAAGACGAGCTGTACCAGGTGGCTGAAACCTGCCACTATGCTAACTGGGCCTCCAGAGAAATTATCTGTGACCACAACTATATGGAGGCAAGTAAATGCAGGGTAACAGTCAAGGGTTATGTTTAGTCTGTGTTGCTTTGTCCTCTGAGTATCAAGATTTATACAGAAATGGATTATCCCTTATGGAGTGGCTTCATTTCTAGGTGTCTGTGAAAAGGGCAGCTCCAGATGAGTATGTCCAACCTGAACACCGTCTCCCAAGAGATAGTTCAAAGTCAAGCTCTCCTCAGTGTGCTGTAGAGGTTAGATGAACTAATTGTCAATTTAACATTCTTGAAACATCTTTCTGTATTAATGTCTTTAAATTTACCTCTCAGAAAGGGCCTGTAGGTTCAGGATTCAGGACAATAACAGTGGTGTTCTTCACTCCTGAAGAGAGGCTTATGTCAATGACTGAGGCTCAGGAAAGGGGTTATGGAATAACAAGCACTCCTTCAAGGCTGGTTGTGCGAAGTCCAAGGCCTGCACCTGAAACGTACACCGAGACTGTGAGTCAACTGCACTCTGCTAAATTTCAGGCAAACCTGAGCTTGGCCTTCACACGGGCACTTGCTAGTCAACTGTTGATTTAGATCACCTAATGTAATCACAGATTTTAAATTTGATTTGTCAATACAATTGGCTTCTTTTTAAATGTCCTTGGGGAAATTACTTCAACAGTATGTGGCATTTTCATTTGAAGTCTTGTTACTGGGTATGTTCTATAACCTCAGGTGGCAGGGGTGCCTATGACTGTGCTCAAAACCTCTACGATCTTTGAAAAGAAGTGGCTGGCGACTCAGATCGATGCAGCGGCTGCTTGTCCAATACTGGAGGGTAATAGAAAATATCTGGAGACCTGGGTGTATTGACACTAAGGTCATGTGCCCAGTGTTCTCTTTAGGAGTTGAACAGTTAAATTAGTGGCTTAACATTCTGGGGAGATGTCTATTTAGCTTTCTTGCTGAGATGCTCAGATCAATACCACTTGTGCATCATAAATATGAACCTGCGGCCATTTATCTTAGCATGAAGACAGGTAACGGGAGGGGGGGGGGGGTGGCTGGGTTTTTTTGGGTGCTTTTGTATGGCTTAAACCAGGAGTAAAGTTTATTTGAACTTAAGGGGTACACTTAAAGTTCAGCCATTTCTCCCCTGTCATGTTAACTGCCAGAAGGCATTCTATTTACTGTACAGCTCACTTAACATTCAGCAAGAAAGCAAAAAGGTTTACTTGATTTTGTAAGTATTTACAGAATGTAGGAAAAAAAAAAACTTGAAAATTTTGGGTGGGTGGGTCTGTCAGGATAAACCTCAGTAGTTCTGAAATTCTGGTTATGGCCATGAATGTAGGTCTTACAATCTGCCACTGTTTAATTTTCCTTTCCCAACTGGTGTCTTTGTGTACAGGCAGTGTTTCTTTTACTCAAAACACAATCACCTGGTACCTACCCTGGCACATTGACCCACTGATTTCCTCTGGCCAGTTTAAACTGTTAGAGGTGCACATGGGCGTTGATGGCCAGAGGCTCGATGCTGCTGAGATGGCAGCCAGACAATACTCCATGTCTGTCAGTGGTGCATATGTGATCATTGAAATTCCTATTGGGGCTGTCGGTGGCTACTATAAGGTCGGTAGCACTGAGATTTTACTTTTTTTTTTACAAAGTGAGATTTTTGTCAATGCATGTCAAAAGAACAGAATATGAGAATATGCTTGAATTTTTAATTTCAGTAGCCAGTAGAAAATTGTGCAACTAAAGGAATATCCTCTTGATGTTGCTGTAACATGTGCATATTAAATCAAATACTGGCTCTGAAAAACATGTCCTTGTATTTGGGAAGGCTTTACTGATGTTGCTTTTGTTTTGCAGAGCCATGTTCAGGATGAGCAGTGCCTCCTCTCCTACACGATTGAGCCAATGATTGAGCTGCACTGGAGTGATGAAACCACCCATGAGGACACAAGATACAAAGTCCTCCTTCCCATTACAACACCATTACTGTCTCAACCTCCACAAGTTGCTGACTGTGAGTCTCCTTCTT